CTTACACTTAAAATAACTCAAACATGGTTTAATGACAAAGATAAATGGCTAGTGGATCTATGTCTAAATAGATTAGAGCATATTAAATTAAATAAACTATTAAATGAAACTACAATTTAAAGAACCCCACCCCAACATACGTGAAAGAATATCCCCAAAAATAACTTTGTAATCAGATTTAGAAGTGTGATAAATGGTTTATAAAACCAATAATAAGAAACCCAAATTGTATAATTGATGCTACATTTCCACCTTATATTTGATTCATTTAAATATGCATTCTGATTTTGATAATTTATACAGGTTTTAATCATTTTCATGTTAGCAGAAAGGTTGTACAATTTTCTATAACGGATAGTGGTACATCGTTAATTATAAAGATAATAAAGAAATATTGCAAACCTTAATAAAAACTTGTAGCAGAGTATGACTGCAATCATGGCCCCAGTGTTCACAAATATTTTGAACTGGAGCAGCTAGAGACTAGGAATAGGGGGATTAGGAGAAAAATAAGAGGAAACAATGTTTAGACATTTTTTACAACTAATTTCTAAAGTCTAAATATTTACACTTTGGAAATTAGTTGTACAAAAATTCTAACATTGTCTCCTCTTATTTTTCTCCCAATCCCCTATTCCTACTCTCTATGTAAAATGGGAGTTTCATATCCACTAGTGAGCTGCATATTAAATTTTTACCAAGCAATGTGAATTACTATAACTACTGAATAACACCAGTCAAAATGCTGTATGGCCAATAAAGGGACATATTTTGTTCATTCTTCAGTAGTTATAATTAGTATCTAGATAGATTGTTACATGACAGTTACATTTTTAAATCCCCATAATTTTCTTTTTTCCTCACACCTATAATTATTGATACACCATGTCTAAGATCAGAACTTTGGGACAAATATTCTATGGTTTGTTTTATCAGTAATTTCAGCCACAAACGAATGTAGCTTAGTTGCTTATGGCATTTAATTCATTAAACCCATTTTGGATACAGAATCTCGTGAATAGCCCATTTGGTGAAAATTAAATAAACTTTTAAATAATCAAACATATTGTTAGTGCATCTTGAATATTTTTTAAATTTAATTATTTTGTAAGACACACAAATCTAGACTTTTGCCATAAAATCAGTGCATTTTTTTGTATTAATGTGACCAATTGAAACACAGTCTACTAAATGTTGGTAAAGGTACAATATTAATAATGGTGACTAATTGATTTAGGTTCATAATCAATGGAAAAAAACAGTACTCCTATCACTCCACTTTATTTCTTCATTTGATATTCAAAATTAAAGATATTAATACAGGGTGGGCCACAATTCGTAGTTAGTTTTGACAGGTAATTAATGTATTTGTTAGTCATTCAATATCTTTGTTGCAGGTACATATTATAACCTAGTCTTGGGAGATTCATTTTGGGTAGTATCTGAGAGGAATGAGTAAAAATAGTGAAATTTTATTTTGAAGATAATAACAACCGTTCTGAAGGAGGGAAAGTACATGAACAAAATGTATACACTTTAGCAGCTCAAGGAGAATATGCGTTAAGAAATCTGAGCACTAAAGCCTTATACAGTAACTAATGTTACTGTACATGAAAAAGCCCGACTTTGCAAGGTGGCAAATGGAGCTCATTTAAAAGAGGTCATCTCCTGTACCTCCTAGTCAAACAAATCTCCATACATTAAGCATTCATTGTATGGAATATCATTGAAATGGTTTCATTTATAAACCTTTATTGACTCCTCAAACCATACTCTGTATTTAAGCATTTGCCAACAGTTTATAGATAACCCACATCAGTATATTTAGGGTGGAGGGGAGAGAGAAAAATATATGGTCTTAGATATTATGCTTTATTTGAAACATTCTTTAAAGTCTCAGTATGCATTTCAGCTTCACAACCATTTAGGCAGAAAACACAATTAAAAGTATTTCAATAGTTTGTGTCCAAAATGGTGGTTTTATTTTATTTAAAAATATATATATTTGGTGGTGGGGAGGTCACATTTAAGATATAATACATAGAATTCATGTTTCCTTTACCCAGAGAATGACCCCTGAGGTGACAAATCATAACGGTGTAGCCACATCTCAATCTGCATAAAGGACATTTAAATTCAAAAAAGCAAAAACTGTTCAATTGCGAACATCTAGTATTTACATAAAAGGTCACGTTTTGCATTCAATACATCCTGACAGTTCATTCCTTTGAATTGTATTGTGTGTATTGAAATCCAATTTATTACAATCTTATAAAGTTTATTAAACTGACCAGAGATCAGTTAGAGATCCTGAGACCAGGCATGTTTGGTCTTTGTCAAGATAGTTCTGTTTACCAATTGTAAATACTGCTGGTGACTTGTATCTATTTACATACTGCACCTATTATTATGATGATAGTATTTAGACTACAACTAAATGCAATTACAAAACTAAGTTCATGGCCTGAGGGAGGAGATACTTCTCTCCTGTAAATGAATATCAATGTTCCCATCAACATATTGCCATTAGATGTGCAGACATTAGGTATCAGTTACACAGTTTTGTATCTTTCTATGTTAGATGATGCTACAATCCCAAGGTTGGATTTAAAAAGATATTTTACAATATTAATATTTCCTGTTCCGTATTTTGTTTATCAACTATTCAAATATTAGCACATGCTTGGTCATAGTACTGACTTGATTCATATAGATTTGAGTTCTTATTTAAAAAAAAAAAAAACAGAAAAAAAACCATTTATTATCTTTAACGTGACGGTTACTAGAGAATGTCCACAATGCATGATTTCACAATAGGTCCATAATTGTGATTATACAATCATGCATCAGTTATTTTATGGAAAAGTCATTAAACCGGACACCTGTGATCATATAGTCCTCTAGTCTAGAAGATAAACAATTAAACTCCTATAGTCATGGAGAATGTTCACTTACCAATGATAAATGTATCCTTAAACATAGAATGTATACCAATATCAGTAATGGTTATGCCACTATATATGAAATGTATTATACATTTCAGCTATTATTGACAACACTGTTTGAAGTTGGAAGGCATGAGAAATATGGAATTCATTAAAACAACCATTAAAACAGTACATGAATAATGTCACTTGTCCTCTGAGTGACACTGAAATGGTCCTGCATTCCTAAGTGTAGCATTTTTACAGGTGTTATTGCTGATAGGTTTTGGGGGTACATTAAGATCGTTATGGGGGTCACTGCATTTATTTTGTCAACAAGAGTCACAGGCACATGTTTGTAGCCCACAGCAATCCAAAACAATGACAATTGGGATATTCTGCTGTACCCTGAACTCTAATAATGATTAATGTATTAAATACCTGCTGGTGGGAAGCATTAAGGCCATTTAATATTTGAGCCTCATAAGAATACATAAGGTATTATTTGCTTTGTTATATATACTCTAAGCAAATGTTTAAACTTTAACCTTTCATATAACACTTTGAAAGGCACTTTACAAATGCATATTTCTAATAGGGCTCATACTTCATGCTTTTGCTACAAATGAAGATTACATTGGTTGGTATTTTAGATCAAATAATTATTTCAGATATAACAGTAGAAGAGGAGTTTCATTGAAAAGAAAAAAAAAAGTAAATATCAGATATTTATGAATTTAGTTATATATACACATGGTCCTCTCATTGTGCCTCTAGCCTCATCCCATATCTATTTCAATGTAAATGTTTTTTCTTCTTTATTTAAAAAAAGAAAAGTGAGTTACCACCTAGATAAGTCTAATTAGCATGGAATGCTTGTACAGAATTTGGTCCAATGCCTAATCAGAATGCCAGCCACACCCATTCCTTATTTTCCCATAAAACCACTGGACCAAGTACTGATCCTCAGTATACTTTTTTGTTTGTTGATTAAGAACTGTCAAGATTTTTCCCTCTGCCAGAGTTGGCCATATTGGATTACCTGAGTTTTTTGCATGTTCCTCCAAGTTGCTCTGTAATTCAACTGCAAGGCCTCACAGCTGAGATCTCTCCAGTGATCTGAATCCTGTGTTTTCCTTCATTCCCAAGGTAAGATCCATGATCTGTATTTAATGCTTTTGTAGATGGAGACTACCTTTCACTTATTGTAATTGGTATTTCCATTAAAAACCATCCGCTGCTCCTATTCAACTACAAGGATCTAAAATCTCCAAAGCTTGAGCTTCCATTAGCTCTCCTAACCTAAACCTTGTAGTACAAGGCTGGCTCATTGGCTGAGAGTGTAGCTGATCCATCTCAGTCAATGAGTTAAGAACTGCACCAGAAGGCTTTGCACAGAAAGCTTCTGGCTCGATGTCTGAAGTAGTATAGGTAGTGAGCACTGCCTAACAGACCCCAGTTAAGAAGAAAAGCAATTCATGACCTATATTTGACTATTTACACTGGGGCAATCCCAGGGCATTCATGGCACTATAACTTACTATACGAGGTAGTTTGAAGATCACTCTAAGATCAATCATGACTACAAAGTTAATAATGTTGAGATTTCCATGCATTAACTCCCAGCAGTTTGTAATAAATCAGTGCAATACTATGCCAGCCTCTCAAATAAGTATACATTCATATAGCCTAGTAAAATGCTCTATTACTCTTGTTCAAGTTATAAATCCAAGTTTCTGAGCACTTTACTTGTGACGTCAGTGGCTCGGCTCTTTCCAAAGTAGAACATGGAGCATAGATCTATATAATGCATTAAACAATTGCATATTTTTTTCCAATAGTTCACCTCTAACTAAGTGTCATAAAATGCAGTTTCATATTGCAAAATATATTCAATGCACAATTAGTAGAAACCAAATAAAATGCTAGAAAGCTACCTGTTTGGAAACTGATTAAGTTAATATTTTGAAATTAAATGAAATCTGCGTAGACAAAAATGTGGAGCCATAATTTTATTTACTTACTAACCATTAACTTATTTTGTATCTACAGATAAGCAAACCTATTCTGAACACCATGGAATCCCAGAGTGCCACAACCATCGGAGGACAATATGAGGTGGTGGGAATCCTAGGTGAAGGAGCATTTGGTAAAGTTGTAATGGCCAAAGACCAAAAATCAGGTAGAGTCACTACAAATACAAGTGCCTAAAGATTAAAAAGCGTACATTTTGCTAATTTGATACTGCTTAAAAGTTTTGTTTGAATTGTATGCACCCACCCTTTCCCCACCCTATCCCCAATGTATGCAAATACTTTAACTTGGGTTTATTATTTAACCCTTAACCTATATTTAGTAAGGTTCTCCAAGTTTTTAGTTGTGATATTTTAGCTGGTAATGCTTTAACAAATAATGGTATAGCAGTTGGGAGCTAAATAATGTTAATAATTTGAAATATATAGCACAATGTATAATTCAAGATTTTAAGATGTGGATTTGGCTTCTATTGACCAAGTTTATTTTAAATAATCCTTTTTTAAAAAAATCTTTTTCCTTTGAACAGGAGAAGACGTTGCACTCAAAATGATAAGAAAGGATCGAACCTCATTTCCTGCATACCTCCATGAACTGCAGGTGTCTATCTTGGTGTCCGGTCATGAAAACGTGATCCACACACATCCAGTCTACGTGCCTGATCCAGACCACTTTGTCATCAGCCAGGAGTTAGCTACAAGTGGAACCTTGCATTCTATCATTGATTCTCAGGTAAGCATCCCATTTTATGCAATATGCACTTTATGAATACATCCAGTACAATGATATATTGAAATTGTTTAATGTAAGAGTTGAAGTCACACTAAACACATACAAAATATACAATTTAAGTTAAATTGTCAGCAAAAATCTTTTTATACTTGTATATAAATTGTAAGCTACAAGTAAACAGTTTTAATAGGGTAGTGTGAAAATAATTGTGTTGTAGATAGAACTGTAAATACCATTTTTCATCTGGAATGAAAACCTTTATTCCAAGGCTTATAAGATTTTATATATTTAAGGTTATGTTAACAGTTTGTTTTGTTGTATGCAATAAATACAAAAAAAAAAAATATCAAAAAAAGTTTGCTTTGGGGATTCTCAATCCCTGTACAAGTCATTAACATATCCTGTCAAACTATATTTGAGTCTGTTATTAAAGGTTTCCCCCCCCCCCCTTTTCTTTTTCACTTTTAGGTTGGGATTCCAGAAGATGTGGTGAAGCGCTGTGCAGTGCAGCTGGCAACAGCTCTCAATTACATGCACAGCAGGGGGATAGTACATGGTGACCTGAAACCGGACAACGTGCTGCTTATGGACAAAGACTGCCATCACATTAAGCTGGGTGACTTTGGTCATTCCCAGAGTATTGGCAGTCTTGTCGGCTGTATGTCACACATTATTCCATATATGTCCCCAGAAATATGTAGCCTGAAATCAAATGAGTGTTTGATTCTGACCCCGAGTGTAGATGTCTGGGCTTTTGGCATTCTCCTTTATGTGGCGCTTACAGGGGGCTACTCATGGGAAAAAGCAATGGGGGACGACCATGATTTCAGTGTGTTCGTTGACTGGCAAAGCAAAGGAGACTACTCCTCTCCTCCTCCTGGCTGGGAAATGTTCACAGTGGAAGCAATGGACATGTTCTTCACATTGCTGTTCCAGAACCCCTCCTTGAGGCCTTCCAATGATCATGTGCTGAAATATCTCAATTATCCATGGCGGTCAATTGATGTTTCAAGCGACAGTGAGGAGCCATCGATCGAAATACAGGAGGTGACCATTGAGGAGAGCCAAGAGTATGAAATCATTATCATACCGGGAAATGATGAGGTGGTTATTATAGAAAATGGGGACACGGAATGTGTGTTTGTTGCAGGAGCAGCAGTAGAGTCCGGTGACATCATCTATGTACTATGTGACAATACGTGATCTAGTTTGGAATCCCAGACGGTTGCAGCTCATGGTACAGTCACTACTTAAGAAAATGCATCAGGCTGACAATGGCAAAGTGGAAGGTGTTGAAAGCAGGATGAAGCTACTGCTACAGTGAGTTTTATTTTTTTTTTTAACCCTTATCTTTCATTAGTTCCCCAAATTAGAGAATGATTTGTCACCTTAGTTACTAGGTGCATAAAGTGCATGACTGGCAACCATTTAACTAAGGTATGAAACTAATGAGGTTACCAAGTACCATAACTTCTATAGGTATTGTAGTCACCACATTCAATGTCTTTGGGTGCTCACGAGTGGTTCAATACTAAGGTTCTCTTGGCTCTTTGCACCCCAATAGTTACATAAAATAATGGTTAGTGGCGTTAACTGCCTATGTAAGAGCGACTATGACTATGATTCTATAAGTTCTTATTGTAAGTACTCATGACTATATAAATTAACCATAAAGACTTTTTTGCACTCATTTCAGAGCTTCCATGTGCGGATAATATGGGGGAATAGGACATTGCAACTGACATTGATGCCTTGAACTCCCTTTCCACCTCAGTCGGTATTCCCAGTTGCAACAGCAAAGAAGAGTTCTGCAGGAGTATGCATAAATGGGCTTGTGTCTGAAAACAGATCATTTGGGGGCTCACTAATATGTTGATATAGATACACACACCCATAGCAAGAGGCTTTTTTTTTTCTCCCCATTGTTCTCTAAGGAAGTCTACCTGTCACATTGACTTTAGATCCAGTGGTGGCCTTGGACATCCTCCAATGGTGGTTTCAGAGAGGATTATAGCTTGCTTTGTTGACAATGTGTGACTTTATGCCATTGTGAACAGTTACAGAATGCGGATTTGGTGGTTTTGGGTACTGCTAGGAAAGGGAAGACTACAGATGAATGGGTTACGGAGAAGAGCTTCCAAGCCCACACTACACCCTTCCAAATAGCATGTTACTAAATAGAGATGAAAGGCTACCAGTCCAACAGTGCTGAATTTCCCCATTAGGCATCTGCCATGTAAGGTGTGTTTTTTTATTTTTTTTATTTATTTTTTTAAAGCACTAGTGTGTGGTAAGGTGAATTGTTAGTATGGGATTCACAGGAGAGGTTTTGCCTTGATGTGGCACGTAAGCTTTTGAGATAGTGCACAAGAAAGTTTCTTTGGTTTGTATTGGTGTACTATAGGTATTGCTGCTGCCCAAGACTAGTAGGAGTTTGAACGCAGGAATTCATTTTGTATGTTTATAAATGTGTCTGCAGTTTTTTTTTATACTCTTTATACCTGCAATTTCCAGATAATAAATTCAGTAATAAACTTGCTTTCTCTGCCTTTTTTTGGAGAGAGGGGTTTGGCAGGGTGTATTTTTTTTTTAATTTTTCCTACAGATACCGGATTTGTAAATTCAGCCCTGATGTCATACAAGGGTTTAATAGTGAAAATTCCACATTTTCATATTTTGAATAAATGTTAGTAAAACCAGTTATTTAGGAACATAGTAATGAGACTGATGCAATTACTTAATTCCTTGAAATTAGTTCTTCAACAGTTTAAAATTTAAAGTCTTACCACCAAAACAATGTTTATAGGTTTACTCCAACAACCATGACCACTTCAGTGATTTAAAGTGGTCATGGTGGAAGGAGTCCGTATGTGCAGTGTTTCAGCTTGAAAACTATATATATACTGATGTAGTGGACCCCAGGTAACCCGACTCGTTACTTCCGCTAATTCCTCCTCTCAGTCAGACTGGAACCATTAAACATGCAAGCATCCATTCCCCCAGTAACCAGAAGAAACATAGTTCTGGAAGTCAACTGATTTTATTCAGGCCACACTCTGATTTTATGCACAGACCCCTTGCATGGGGTCTTCAACACCATGATACAGGGTTTTCATTTTGCAGGGTCTCTTGTGTCTGAGAAATAATTGCGTGAGGAAAATATGAGGGGATAGCCCAAAACAGTTCCAGGGAAATAGGTGCCCTGGCTAGTCTATGTTCGGGGTGTCTGTGAGAAAATCATGCAAGGGATTCTCTTGATTTTTGGGAATGAATGCTTCCCCCCCCAGTCAGTAGTTATGAACTATAGAAAAAATGTGTAGATGGGTCAAATAAAATGTAAATAGCAAAAAATATAAAAATGGGCAGCTTCACATATGAGCAATATAGATGAAGATAATAAAACTATAGTGTGAGCGCACCTAAAAATAAGGAGATGTCTATCAAGTAATTAAAAATATTTAATAATACAATACAAGTAATGACTAATTGATAAAATCCATAAGGTGACAAAAGATAATAAACTGATAAGTAATCAGAAATCTCCTAGCAACGCAGTTCCAGGTAAATAACAATGTATAAACTATTTATACATTAGTTTGTTTCATTCAGAGTCCTGCGGCTTCTATATATATTTAGATCCTGTCTATGATATTTCTATGTTCTAGCTTGACTCCTCCCGTTAGTTAACTCTGGTTTTAGTTGTTTTTTCTACGGCATTAGAATTTTGAGTATGCTAATACATCTTTGAGTGTATTCATCTGTATTTTATTTTCTGTGGTACCACATTTATATTTGAGTGTTACAGTTTGTTACACAGTTTGTTTCATTCAGAGTCCTGCTGCTTCTATGGCAGCAGTATCCTGAACACTGCTACTTGTAACATTTCTATATGTACACATTATTTACCTGGAACTGCGTTGTTAGGAGATTGCTGATTACTTATCAGTTTATTATCTTTTGTCATCTTATGGATTTTAGCAATTAGTCATTACTTAGTATTATTAAATATTTTTTATTACTTGATAGACTTATTTTTAGGTGCGTTAACACTATAGTTTTATTAACCCCAGTCGGCAGTTTACCGAGGTTCGTGTGAATGCCTAGCCGAAAAGAGTTCCAGGCACTAAACGACCCAGTGCCGCTACCCACGTTCGGGAGACAAAATTGTCTGCCACTTTTGCCAACCATGTACATTCGGTAATATGAAATGGCAGCCACCCAGGGGAAGCATTCAGTAATAACTTCCCTTGTGGTTTCGCACTTAAGTTACGAGGTGTGAACGTTCTACTGTGGTACTAGGGTGGTCCTCATTTGGGAGACAATTGTAGAGTGTTTGCATACCATAACTCCCGAACGGATAAAAGGTAACTCACGAAATTGGCTGTATGTTGCGCCACAACTAAGATATCTGTAATTGTGTGCTGAGAGCTAGTTGCTGCCCCCTCACATGTGACATTGGCAGCCCTTAACAGAGTTCTGGGCTGATATTGTTATTTCTGTGCATAAACACAAGAGACTAAAATATTCCCCTCACCAGCCTGCATATTGGTCCAATCACAGGCTTCTTTATAGTGTTCCTTTTAAGAAACTACTAAGGGATCTATGGCATCATAGACACCAGGAAAACTACAGCTTGATGGAGTTCTGGTATCTACTGCCTGTCTCTGCAGGCTTTTCAATCTACTGCATTTGGGCTTGGGCTTGTCACCAGTGGGGTACCTCAGGGATCTGTACTTGGACCCATACTCTTTAATATTTTTATTAGCGATTTTGTAGAAGGTCTTGATGGTAAGATATGTCTTTTTGCTGATGATACTAAGATATGTAACAGGGTTGATGTTCCAGGAGGGATAAGCCAAATGGCAAATGATTTAGGTAAACTAGGAAAATGGTCAGAGTTGTGGCAACTGACATTTAATGAGGATAAGTGCAAGATAATGCTTCTTGGACGTAAAAACCAAGGGCAGAGTACAGAATATTTGATAAAGTCCTAACCTCAACATCTGAGGAAAGGGATTTAGTGGTGACTATTTCTGATGACTTAAAGGTAGGCAGACAATGTAATAGAGCAGCAGGAAATGCTAGCAGAATGTTTGGTTGTATAGGGAGAGGTATTAGCAGTAGAAAGAGGGAAGTACTCATGCCATTGGACAGAACACTGGTGAGACCTCACTTGGAGTATTGTAAGCAGTACCGGAGACCGTATCTCCAGAAGGATATTGATACTTTAGAGAGAGTTCAGAGAAGGGCTACTAAACTGGTTCATGGATTGCAGGATAAAACTTACCAGGAAAGGTTAAAGGATCTTAACATGTATAGCTTGGAAGAAAGATGAGACGGGGGGATATGATAGAAATATTTAAATACATAAAGGGAATCAACACAATAAAGGAGGAGACCCTATTTAAAAGAAGAAAAACTATCACAACAAGAGGACAGTCTTAAATTAGAGGGGCAAAGGTTTAAAAATAACATCAGGAAGTATTACTTTACTGAGAGGGTAGTGAATGCATGGAATAGCCTTCCAGCTGAAGTGGTAGAGGTTAACACAGTAAAGAAGTTTAAGCATGCGTGGGATAGGCATAAGGCTATCCTAACTATAAGATAAGGCCAGGGACTAATGAAAGTATTTAGAAAATTGGGCAGACTAGATGGGGCGAATGGTTCTTATCTGCCGACACATTCTATGTTTCTATGTTTCATTTTTAGAGAAGAGGCAGTGTTTACATTATTGCCTAATAACACCGCCAATGGCAGTTACTCAGGCATCCACTAGAGGTGCTATTGCATGGCCACAGCGCTGACCTGAAGATATAGGGCCCGTCTGGTGGCCCTGAGTGCTTGGGCCGTAGTTTGAGGACCCCTGCTTTATTACCTGTAATTGTTTTTTCCCCCCTCTTTTCTATATAAAGACATACAAACATAAATATAAAGTCTCAACCTGTATAATGAAGTCATACTGCTGTTTGGGGCTAAAGAAGGGAAATCAATTATTGATGAGGAACAACAGCTATTTGAGCAAATTGAGAAATCTGCAAATCTGGGTAATATGTTAATTATTGGAGATTTTAATCACCCGAACATAAATTGGAACATAGGGAATTATGTTTTTGAACTTATTGAATGACACCATCATGTCACAAGTTGTACAGGCACCAATTAGAGAGGTCGCTTGCCTGTGTGAACATATGTAACCTACTACC